TCATAAGATCACAGCCTCAGAGGGGGAAGGGACCTTCATTTTACAGTTAAGGGAATGGAGGTCCAAAGTGGTCATTTACCCAAGGCCACTCAGATACTACAAGTGTCAGGGCCAGGATTCAAGTCAGGATTCAGTGTCTCTAATTCCAAATCTGGCCATCTTTCCACCTCTTGTTAGACTTCTCCTTTGTGTGTATCCCACTGTAACTAACATATCCTGGCTTAAGTGTGTGTGCATATATAATACACACATCTAGACATAGACAGATACACATACATGATGAATGCCTGGCACACAGCAGGTACCCAGTAAATGTTTATTGACTGACCAACTGACTGAAGAAGGGGATTGCTGGGTCAACGGAAAGAAGGGGTCACATGAGAAAGGATGACATGAACGTAAAAATGGCCCCAGGACAGAGGGGGTGAACCCGAATGACAGGAAAGATGGCAATGTCCTAGACAGTAACGAGAAGGTTAGTAAGAGGGGTGGGTGGGGGTGGGATGTCATAAGGTCTGTGGTCTTTCACAACCTATTCACCCTGCTCATTCTGCCCTCCCCAAAATGAAAGGGAGGAGTGAGGGATCTCACTCACCCTGCCAGTAGCTACCCTGGAACACACATCCTGCCCTCCAGGGTGATACACCCATCAGGTGACCCAGCAGGCAAGGGATGGGCAGGTGGGAAGAAGAGAATTTTCCCAATGGCATTTTGACAGCTGTTGTTCTGGGCGCCCAGCTAGTGCCCAGATTATAACTGCCCTGACAGCAGGTTCTCAAAAGACTGGAATTGTAGGAAAAAAATGCTCCAAATGACTAATAAAAAGAGAAATACAAATTCACACAACACTGAGGTTCTATCTCCCACCCACGGGATCACCAAAGATGGCAGGTAACAGTTGTTGGAGGCAGCGGAGAAGATCCAGGCCCCATCAGTGGAGCTGGGAAGTGGTCCAGGGCAATTTGGAACGAGGCCCCAAAAGTCACTTAACCTCTGACCCAGTGATATGACTATGAGGCATAATCCTCAAAAGGTCAAAAGGACCTATATGTACAAAAATATTTATAGCACGTCTTTCTGTGGTGGCAAAGAATTAAAGACTGAGGGAAGGAGATCAACCGGAGAATGGTTGGACCAGTTATGGTCTATGAATGTGATGGAATACTACTGTGCCAGGGGAAATGATGAAGGGGGAGTTTCAGAGAAACCTGGGAAGATTAATATGAACTGATGCAGAGTGAAGGAGACAATTTATGCAACATGTAAAGGACAACCACAGGGAAAGCCTACAGAACCCTGATCAATGCAAGGACCCACGAGGACTCTAGAAGACTTGATGGTGAAAAACACTCCCCTCCTGTCAGTGGCTCAAATGGACGTGCATTTTCAGATATGCCCAATAAGCCACAAGACTGTTTCTGCTTGCTTATAATCACTGGTGACAAAGGTGGGCTTGTTCTGGGGTTGGGGAATGAGGAAGTGAGAGTGATATAAAAAAAGAAGAAAGAAGGAAAAAAGAGCAGCAATAAAACATATTTTTTAAAAAAGACAGAGCAAGTCCAGGACAGGGCAGAGACGAGCAGGGCATGGTCAACACTATCAGGTTAAGAAGGATGTATAATGTTTAAAAGACAAGCCGTGGTAGATTCACAGTTACATAGGCAATCCTCTTTTTCCATCCTTTTAAAATAGAAATGTTTCTATGTTGATGACTGCCAAGTCCATAATTTTTAAATAAATAAAATAATTAACTAGGTAGAAGATAAAAGGTCAGTACAAGAAAGAAATTTTAAATATTAAAAAATTATTTTTTTAAAAAGAAGGCCAAACATACCCCAAAGAGGAGACATCAAAGATAAAGGAACAGGATTCATATGTTCAAAAATAATTATAGTAGCACTTTTTCTTGTAACAAAGAAGGGGAAACAAACCACTTTTCTCTGGGGGATGGAATTCCACTGCAACAGGGTCCTGTGAAAGGACTGGGTCTGAATCCAGGCCCTGCCTTCTCTACCTTGCATGACCTTGGGCAAGTCATCTGCCCTCCTTATTTTAATAAGGGGGTTGGCCTAAATGATCTCTAGGGTCCTTTCTGGTCTTAAACCTATAATGTTACTAATTATACTTTGCATTTTTCCAAGATGAACTCACAAAAGAAAGTCATGGGGAAAGAGAAATATTGGCAAACTCAACAGGAGATGTTGGCAAGCCACTCTGGGCTGAAACGAACACCAGTGGGGAGGGAATGTTTATATGTCGACTGTGTATATTGAGTCCTTAGTAGCTGAACTTTCCTTCCCAACCGTTTTATTGTGAATTCTGCTCTTAAAAGGGGAGATGAACAGAAAAAAAAACAAGAAAAAAAATTTCCCAGATTAAGATGATTCAGAAACTCAAGTGCTCAACGAGTCTCTGGGAGAGATTTTACAGGCAATGGTGACCCCTGAAAATAATATTCTAGCATCCCACCTCTTGACAAAAGAGGTGATAAACTCAGGGTACAGACTAAGATAGTTTTTTTTGGATATGGCCGCTGTGGGAACTGGTAATGAAATATTAGTGGTCCATAAGAAATGCTTAAAAAAAAAAAAAGAAGGATTCAGAGTGTTAAAGGGTTTTCTTTTTCATTTTCCAATGGGACAGAGAAAATAGATTTGTGCTCATTGAAAAAAATTTAACATTTTAAAAATGTTTTAAGATCATAATTTAGCAGCACTTTTTGTGGTAGTAAAGAACTGATTCCCATCGGCTAAGAAATGGCTGAAGAAGGGCTAACCAAACTGTGGGTGGGTGTGTATGGTGGGAAATCACTGCGCAGCACAAAACGAGTATGAAGCATCCAAAGTAGCATGGGAGGACTTACGTAAGCAGAGCTAGGAAAAGACTACACAATGACAGCCCTGTAAATAGAAAGAATAAAGCAAAATTGAACCCTGGCTAATCTTACAGTGTCCAAGAAGCTTGACCCAAGAAAATGGACTCCCCTGCCTTCACTGCACAGGTTGGGGACCACGGGTATGAAATACTACATATACCGTCAGACCTGGCTGCTGCGTCGTTTGATTTTATTGAAATGCCTTTTTTTTTTCTCTTTAAAATTTTCTTTTCTTATAAGAAATGGCGCATGGAGTTGAGGGGGAAATGGATATGAGAAAATGAATGTTAAAAATATAAAGGATCATAAGAGAAAGGGGGCTGAGAGAAGGGAGGGTGGCTTGGTGGAGGTGGTGGTCAGAAGAAAAACACCTGAGGATGGACAGGAAGAAAGGTCAGATTAGGATAAACGGAAAAGAGAGTAAGGAATAAGACAGAGGGAAATACATAGTAAAAATAACTAAAAAAAAGTTTTACAACAAGTTTCTCTGATAAAGGCCTCATTTCTCAAATACATAGAGAACTGAGTCAAATTTATAAAAATAAGAGCCTTTACCCAATTGATAAATGGTCAAAGGATATGAACAAGCAGTTTTTTGATAAAGTAATCAAAGCTATCAATAGTCATATGAAAAAATGCTCTAAATCACTATTGATCAGAGAAATGCAAATTAAAACAACTCTGAGGCACCACTCACACCTATCAGAGTGGCTAATACACAGAAAAAGAAAATGACAAATGTTGGAGGGGATGTAGGAAAACTGAGACACTAATGCACTATAGGTGGAATTGTGAACTGATCCAACCATTCTGGAAAACAATTTGGAACTATGCCTAAAGGGCTGTAAAGCTGTGCATGTCCCAACTGACCTAGCAGTAACACTACTAGGTCTATATCCCAAAGAGATCGCAAAAAAGAAAAGGAAAAGGATCTATATGTACAAAAATATTTATAGCTGCTCCTTCTGTGGTGGCAAAGAATTAACTGGAAATTGAGGGGATGTCCATCAATTGGGGAATGGTTGAACAAGTTGTGGTATATGATTGTAATGGAATACTATTGTGCTATAAGAAATGATGGGCAGGATGCTCTCATTAAAAGCCTGGAAAGACTTACATGAACTGAGGCAAAGTGAAGGGAGCAGAACCAGGAAAACATTGTACACAGTGAGAGCAACATTGTAACAATGATCAACTGTAAACAACCTGGCTCTGCTCATCAGCAATACAATATCCAAGACAATTCCAAAGGGCTCATGATGAGAAACGATATTCACCTCCAGAGAAGGAACTGATGTAGCCTGAATGCAGACTGAAGCATACTTTTTTTAATTTATTTTTTCTTGGGGGCTTTTTTTGTGTTTTCTTTCACAACATGCCTATTATAGAAGGATGTTTTGCATGTCTACACATGTATGACATATCAAATTGCTTGCCTTCTCAATGAGGGGGGATGGGAAGGAGGAAGAGAATTTGGAACTCAAAATTTTAAAAAACAAATGTTAAAAACTGTTTTTACATGTAATTGGGCAAAATAAAATAAAAAAAAACAGAAGGGATCAATAAAAATAATTTTTAAGTGAGGGAGAAGATTGCTCCTATTTTTACAACATTCTCACTACAGCCCTGTGAAATAGAGATCATTATCCCCTTTTCAGAAAAAAGGAGGGGCAGCTAGGTGGCACAGTGGATAGAGCACCGGCCCTGTCAGGAGGACTTGAGTTCAAATCCAGCCTCAGACCAAATACTTGACACTAGCTGTGTGACCCTGGGCAAGTCACTTAACCCCAATTGCCTAAAAGAAAAGAAAAGAAAAAAGGAAATTGAAACTCAGAAAACTCAAGGTATTTGTTCAGGTCTCACAGCCTGCCAGAACTTTGAACTCTAAGCTCAGTGCTGACCCACTGAACCACATGGCCAGTCATGAGTAGAAGGAAGGCCTCAGTTGCCTCATCTGGATAATGGGTACCCATATCATAACACCATTGTGCTGATGCTCATAAAGGACAACAAAAACATTTTCAGAGCAGAGCTGCTGAGCGGCCTTCCTCAAGGTATGATTTTCCTCACGCGGCCTCTCCACGTGCCTCTTCCTGCTTGTGAGACGGTACGATGTAAGACTTACTTGGTTAACCTGTGGCTTTTCATGGCTATGAGGAATTCCCTGAGGATCTCCGGGCTCTGGTGCCTGCAGGGCGTTTTGGACAGGTACTTCATCGTCTGGAAGGAAAGAAAGAAAGAAGGGAGGCATGAAACACGGGGCAGGGAGCACGGGAAGGACTCCAAACCAGCCAGGCCGCTTCCTCAAGAGCATCTGAATCAGCGGGTCCCACGCCCTCGTCCAGCACACACGCGGCCCCAACGTTGGCCGGGCTGAGGACGTGAGATGCAGAGGGCTGAAAAGAACCTCACTGAAGGAAGCGGAAGGACTCAGCCAGAAGAGCCTAGAGCCGGAGAGCTGAAGGGGCCTAGGGGTCATCTGGTCCAACCCCCTCGTTTTATATGGGCCAAAGGCACACAGAAAGCATCCTAGGCAGGATTTGAACTCAGATCTTCAGACTTCGGAGTCAGTTCTCTTTCCACGGTGCCACAATGTGCACATGGGGGTGGAAAGAACCTGGGAAATCACAGGGCTCATGTTAAACACGACCAGACTGAAGCCCAGAGCAGAGAAGGGTTTGGTCCAAGGTCACACAGGTGGAAAGTAGCAGATCCAGATTCCAACCCAGGTCCTCTGGCACCAAACGTACATGACTATCTCTCCTACATCCATTATATTCCTCTCCAGGGTTAGGGTAGTTTTAAATGGCCACCAATTTTATCTATTTTATCCATGGTGGAAATAAATACCAAATTTATAGTCAAGAGCTGCCCAGAGCATGGGGGTGTAGTGACTGGCCCAAGGTCACACAGCCAGCATGGGTCAGAGGGAGGATTTGAACTTGGGTCTTCCTGACTCTGAGGCCAGCAGCTCTCTATCAGCACAGAGATTCAAACACTGAACTCTTTCAAAACTGGGATCTGAGGGGGCAGCTAGTTGATAGAGCACCGGCCCTGAAGTCAGGAGGACCTGAGTTCAAATCTGGCTTCAGACCAAACACTTGACATGTACTAGCTGTGTGACTCTGGGCAAGTCACTTAACCCCAATTGCCTAAAAATAAATAAATAAAAATAATGGGGAAAAAAAAAGTAAAACTGGGATCCGAGGAGGGGAAAGATGCCTATTTATGACAACAAGGGATAGTGATTTCCTGCTCTGGAGCAGGAGGGGCTCTCTGCTCATTATTAATCGATCCACACAACTTGGGGCCTCCATTGACTGCCTGCTCCTTAATGTCTGTGTGATCCTGGATTTGTTACTAGGCCCCTCTGGGCCTCATCACGAGATGCCTCCTCCTCCTCCTCCTTTGTAGAAGGCGAAAGCTCCTTTAAACCTGTCCAGAGGAAAACCTGGGGGGAAGCAGGTCTCCTCACTCTCTCTCCTGGGCCCCCTCCCTGGGCTCTCACTTGTGGCAGACACTAAGCTGACCGCTTCCCCGCCAGTCAGTCCCAGGGAAGGCTCCAAGCTTCGGCCACGTTGCAGGAAGGATGACCCCAGCTAAGGCTCTGGGGGCAGCCCAGCTCCCCTTCCTCTGTTGCCAGACCTTGAACGTCTCCCTTCGGTTCCAGCTGTCACGAAAGCTTGGCCCCTTTCGTGACCGACAGCCTCAGTCAGTCTGCACCCTTGGCCTGTTCCCCAGAAGCCTGGTGGGGATGGGGAGAACGCAGGCAGAGGAAGAAGGATGAAGGCTATTTTACACACGAACCCCCGCCCCTCCCCTCCTCCAACCCAGCTGCCCCTCTCCCCTGCCTGCATCTTCCATCCTTGGGGCTGCCCATCATTTTCCAACCCAGCGACCCCAAGCTTGAGAACCAGAGGCCAGTTCTCTTTACAACTTTTAACCTTGTCTGCTGCCAAAGCAAGGGAGCGGTCCGGGGAGGGAAATTCATTCCTTGGACTAGAGCCCACACAGATAAATGTGTGCAGATGGACAGCTTCAAAGAGGAACTCCCCACCGCACAGGGAACCATGCAGAGTCGGGAGGAAATCCCTTTACTGACACCCTCTCAACAAACCTCAAAATGGGGCACGGCGATGGAGAAGTCAGGGACAAGATGGCGCCCAGACCCGCTCCCCTCACCTCCCTTATTCTAGCCTCCGAGATTACCTGAACCGAACTGGAATGAGTACAAACAAGGGGATGCTTGAAAACACAACTGAATAATGCAGACACATCTCACTTCCATGAATTGACAAAACACAAGTAAACTGAATGAAGGCATGTCTCCTCCTCCATCTGGAAGACCGGGATCGGGAAAGCCAAATGTTGTACCACATGTTCACACTGGATAAATTGCCTTCCCATTCACCCACCCTCTGTGCCTCAGTTTTTCTACTTTTAACATGGGTGAGGCGAGGAAATACTTGCTACCTTAAGCATCTCCGGTTCTCAAATGCCCCAACAACTCAGCATATAAAGTGCTTCCAAGGCAGGCTGTGGCTGGAACCAGCTGTACCAACTGAGCTGATGTTAAATTTTTAGTGTGAGGGTTTATATCTCAGAAATCGGCAAATGCAGGGGGCAGCTAGGTGGCGCAGTGGATAGAGCGCCGGCCCTGAAGTCAGGAATACCTGAGTTCAAATCCGGCCTCAGACCAAACACTTGACACTTACTAGCTGTGTGACCCTGGGCAAGTCACTTGACCCCAGTCGCCTCACCAAAAAAAAACAAAACAAAACAGAATGGCTGGATCAGTTCACAACTCCACCAACAGTGCATTAGTTTAAAAAAAAAAAAATTGGCAAATGATACAAATTAGGATTTAATTTATTGTTTTGATGCTCTAGACGGATGGATTTAGTATTTATCATGTAGATTAAATTTAAAAGTGTGTTGTGGGTATGGCATTTTCCCCCTAGAGGGCCGGATGTTAAACATCTGCAGGCCCACAGCTGCCTCATCCTCCTTTCTGCTACCGGCCTGGTCCCCAAATGCTTTCAGTCGGCCCATGGTAGAAGAGCAGATGCCCCAACTTTCTTATTCCGTTACACAAAGCAGTCATCTATCCAACTGCATGCTGGGCCTCACAACAGAGACATAAGCAGAGAACAGCCAGATACTGACTTGTCCTCAAACGGTTTCTACCCCAAAAACATCAGAAGAAGGAAGGAAGGAAGCCTTTATTAAGCACCCAATGTGTGCCAGGCACTTTACTAACTAGACACTTTATATATATTATTTCGTTTGATCCCTGGGAGGTAGGTGCCGTCATTATCCCCATTTTACATTCGAGGAAACTGAGGCAGACAAAAGTTAAGTGACTTGTCCGGTAATAATGATAATATTAACAAAAGCTTACATTTATATAGTGCTTACTATGTGCCAGGCACTGTGCTAAGTGCTTTATAGATATCGTCTCATTTGATTCTCACAACTCTGGGAGACAGGTGCTCTTATCATCCCTGTTTTAGAGAGAAGGAAACTGAGGCTCAGACAGGCTAAGTGATCTGCCCGGGGTCACACAGCCAATAAACGTCCCAAGGGGGGATTTGAACTCATGCCTCCCTGACCCCAACTCTAGCATTCTAACCAAGAGTGAATCCTGGCCTCACAAAGGCTGACTCGCCCAATTCCAGCTGCCTCAGATTTCTGACTTCTGCCTTCCGTCTCTGACCCTCAGCACCGGTAACGCTCACCTACTTCCTCCGCCCCACAGGAAGGGCCCCACTCATGGCTGGGGGTGGGGGCTGGGGGAAGGTGAGGAGCAGGGACATGGGCAGGCCACGCCCCCTCCCGAGGACAGCAGAGACACTTCCAACTGCAGCTTGTCTGGCTCCGGGTCAACCCAGGTGGCCGTTGGGATCCTGACCAGGAAGCAGCTGGACAGGACTGGTGGAGGGGGGGACAGGAGGTGGATGGACAAGGGGAGGAGAGGGGAGGGGGAGGGGTAGATGGGCAGACAGAGACATGTAAAGGGAAGAAGCGGGGCACAGAGACAATGAGCGCTTCGCAGCCTCACCTCGTACATGATCATGTTCAGGTTCTGCTGACCCGAGCTGTGTTTGTTCTTTCCGCTCTCTTTCCGCTGCTCTTTGAGGTCAGTGAGTAACTGGAATACCTGGGTCAGGGAGGGGGAGAATAAAAAAGTTCTGATGAGGAAATCTGAGGCTTTAAACTAGAAATTCTCTCCCTCTGCACCCCCCAAAAAAGAGGCACTGGGATTCAGTGGTTAGTGAGCCCAGAGAATCTCATCTTGATTCAGTCCTACTATTTGTGTGACCGTGGGTAAAACAATCTCTCTGGGCCTCAGTTTCTTCATTAATAAAACAGGTGGGATGGAGCTCTGGGGTCCCTTTGAAGAGGACTGAGCAGTAGTGCTAAAGTCAGGAAGATCTGAGTTCAAATCTAGCCTCAGTTACTAGCAATGTGACCCTGGGCAAAACACTTCACCCTGCTTGTCTCGGTTTCTTTAACTGTAAAATGAGCTGGAGAAGGAAACAGCAAACCACTGCAGTATCTCTACCAAGAAAACCCCAAGTAGGGTCACGGAGACTTAAGGACAAAAACTATTGTCATCATCATTGTTATTATTATTATATCTATGACTATGGAGCATGACTGTCACATCTTCCTTTCGCTTCCTGATTTCTCATCTGTAAAAAGAGAGATGTGGGCCCGCATTGCTCCTATGCCAAGGAAATCACTGGCCGAGGTTTAAATCCAAAGCCAAGTCAAGTGATTCCTGCAGAAGAGGGAAGCCAGATTGTCTTGTGTAAGAAGAAAGTCTGCTATGGAGAGTGTGGAGAAAAAAACACCCAGAGAAATAGCATGTGGGCCCCTGCCCCAATCCTGCCCCTGCCCCAGAGGGAATGTCCTTGTTTCTCCAAGGTCAGGCAAAGTCAGTGCTGTCAAAGGGGGACATTGCACAAGCAAAGAAAACAAAATTCTTTCCTGTTTTTGAAAAGCCAAATGGCCATAGGAAGGGTCAAGGCCTCTGACTGGTGAGGATGTGGCCTCTGTCCATGCCGGCCCTCAGCAGAGCTCACAGAAAGCAGGCTTGTGTGGGCAGTGAGTGACCTGCCCAAGGCTGGAGTCACACTGGCCCAATCACAGAGACACTGTGCAGGGGCAGCAGCAGGGCTGGCTGAAGGGGAGGTGGGCGGACCAGAAGGGCAGCCTCACCGGCCTTCCCACAGATCCCAAAGAAATAACGGTCAAGTCCAAACAGACTTGGGTGTGACTGCCCTATTTCACTAGCTAAATATCCCGTGTCCCTCCCCACCCCCCAACCTAATAAATCCCAATACCTCTCTTTCCCATTTCTGCTTTGAGATTTCCAAAGTGTTTTTAAAAATGTATTTAGTATTTTATTTTCCCCCAGTTACATATAAAAACAATTTTTAACATTCATTTTTAAAACTCAAGTGGGGTTTTTTTTCATCTTTATATGGAAAATATTATGGTAACTATGATTTTATGGATATGGCTTTATTTTTTGTGTAAATTTTTAAAATTTATTTCAAACTTAAATACAAAATGAGAAAAGAAAACAAGAAACATTGCCATGCACACAGCTGAACATGAGAGGATTCAATATAAAATAATAAATTTTCATTTCAAGAAAACCTATATAATAAATACTACACATTGCTTTCAAAGCTGCCCAGTCTTTCTTTGCTTCTCTGTTGCTTTTCTTTCGTTGTCTGCTGTCCATTTTTTACTTTATTTTTCCTTCTCCCGACCCCCGACTCCCGACCCCTGTCCCCCACCCCAAAGAAGGCCCCAATTAAGTGTGGATACATACACACATACACAGATATCTATAAACATACACATAGATACACATACACACTCATATACATATATGGAAGCCCAGACTCCACTTATTTCCTCCTATCGCCTGTTTCTCTAAAGATGGTTGGCAGCTTTCTTCGTAAGTCCAAGCCTCCCCATGTTTTTCTAAATCAACCAGCTCATCATTTCCTACACCACCACAATATTCCAACCCAATCCCATCCTACCTGAGAGATTGTCTACGAAAGCTTTCCCCCAATTTTCTGCATTCCTTCTTTTCTTGGCTCCACAGGTTTTATTTATACAAGAAAATTTTAATTTAAATAATTGAAATTATCCATTTTACACTTCAACAATGCTCTCATCTTATAATATAGTTAAAGGTCTGAGGCTGCTGAATCTACTTCCTTTATATCTTTTTCCTCTGGTTTCTATGAAGTTTCTGACCTTTTGTTCTTCCAAATGAACTTTGTTATTATATTTTCTAACTCAGTAAGATAATTTTTTAGCAATTTAATTGGGATGACACTGAATAAATAGATTAGTTGGGTAAAATTGTCATTTTCAAAATTATATTGGCAATACCTACCCATGAACAATAGATATTACTTCAACTATTCAGATCTGACTTTATTTGTATAAAAAGTGTTTTATTTTTATGTTCATACAGTTCCTGCATCTGTTTTGTCAAGTATAGGCTCAGGCACTTTATACTGTCTAGTTACTGTAAGTAGTCTAAAACAATATTAAATAATATTGCTGACACATAGTATAGTTTCCCTATTTTTCTCTTTAGATTAAATCTATTTTAACTACAACTTTGTCTGAGATCATAATTACTACCCCTGCTTTTTTTACATCCTAAATTCCACTCTTGCCCTTCACTTTATCTTTACGTGTTTCTCTCATTTGTATGTTTCCTGAAAGCAACATATTGTTGAATTCAAATTTTTAATCTGCTATCCGTTTCCGTTTTATGGGTAAATTCGTCCCATTCACATTCTAGGCCACGATTACTTGTGTACTTTCCTCTTTCCTACTTTTCCTCACTATCCTTCTCACCCTACTGGATATGGCTCTCAATATTTTAATCACAGCACACCTCTGGGCCGAGCTGTTGCAAGGATTACTGTCCCCAATTTGCAGAGGCAGAAACCAAGTCTAATTTAAGTGCCTTGTCTATCATCACATGGCTAGTAAGTGTCCCAGACAGGATCCAGACCCAAGAATCTGGACTCTGGGCCAAGCCCAGAGGACTATTCCTCCATCACAGAGCTGATCTCTTCCCTTCCTGCTCAAGCTGCTCCCTCCGCTCCCCATCATCTCTAGGACCAACGACAAAGAGAAAGCCCACCACAATATGGTGCCCCCTCCTACCTCACCCTGCAGTCCCACCACCCAGGCCACCCTGGGGCTCGTCACCCATGACTCCCCAGCTCTCAATGTCCCTTGTCTGTGAACCTTCCCACCCCCCGGTTTCCTTCCAAGTTCAGCTCAAGTCCCACCTTCCTCTACGGGAAGCCTTTCTTAATTGGATTAGGAATCAAGAAGACCTGGAAAGTCCTGGGTCTGCTGTCCACTCCTTTTGAGACTCTAGGCAAATCTATCAATCTCCTCGAGCCTCGGTTGCCCCATCTGTAAAATGTTTGAGGTCTCTTCCAGCTCTAAATCACACATACTAACAACCTCGGTGAGCCTATCCCCTTACCTATATCATGACCAAGGTGGCCTAGATGACCTTCGACTTCTAAGTCCTCTGATCCCAACTGCTATTGTCTGAAGGATCAGGGTTTGGGCTGAATGACCTCTTCGAGGTCACCTCCATCTGTAAGGTTCTAAATGCAAACCCCGCTCTATACCCTTACGGGGTTCAGGAGGCACTTAGGGCCAGGACGCTTGTCAGATAATCCAATCCAGACCCAATTACCTCATAATTGCTGAGCAGAGCGGCATTGGCGTCCTTCCTGCAGAGGAAGCAGAGAAATAAAAAACAGAGTTATAATCCCATCAAGAAAAATAAATGGTCCAACCTCCGGAGCAGGAGGCCTCTAAGGTCCCTCCTAATGTCAAAGCTAAGGTCTGGTGGAACTATGTCCTATTGCCTGACAAGAAAGTGGAGGTCAGCAGGCAGAAATGAGAGTCCCCAGGCACCTGGGAGGGGTCCGGGCACAGGAGAAGAGAACTGGAGCTAAAGCAAAGTATGGAGCAAAAATGCCTTCAGAACACAAACACGGCTCTGAAAAGTCAACCGGGTTCAGGAAACACTGGCCCGCCACCTACTCCCTCTACAACATGTCAGGCACTGCGCCAGATGTGGGGGGACTTAAAACATACACACCTACCCACACACACACACACACACACACACAGTGTAACAGTCCCTGCCTTCAAGGAGTTTTCAGTCCACTGAGGGGTGGAAGGGAATATGGCATCTACACGAGTAAGTAAAAATGAGGTAGTTTGATGAGGGAGAAAACACTTTCTATTAGACTGGCTTAGACTTCAGGTAGGTCGTGACACCTGATGGTGAGCCTTAAAGGAAGCTAGAGATTCTAAGAGACAGAGGTGAGAAGGGAGTACCTTCCAGGAAGAGATGACACAGCCTATGCAAAGGTGTGGAGGCTGGAAATGGAATATCTTCTTTCTATACAGATCAACCAAAATGCATCTGATGCCAGCAAGAGAGGTAGCACAAATGCTATGTCATAAGCTTCATCCCTCTGATGAGTACTTACCCCACAATAATTCAGTCAGTGGTTCAGCAGCTCAGGGGGTCACAGAAGGGCCTGGGCCTCTCCCCTCTTTAATCAAGACACACCAATTTAACAGATATAGTAAGAAGGTAGCACAGGGGACAGAGCCCCAGGGCTGGAGTCAGGAAGACTTATCTTCCTGAGTTCAAATCTGGCCTCAGACACTTACTAGCTGTGTGACCCTGGATAAGTCACTTAACCCTGTTTGCCTTAGTTTCCTCATCTGTCAAATGGATGAGCTAGAGAAGGAAATGGCAAACCACTCCAGTATCCCTGCCAAGAAAACCCCAAACGGGGTCGTGAAGAGTGGGACACAAATGAAACAACTAAGCAACAACAAAAAAGGACACAAAAAAAGGCAAAAGCCAGTCCCTATCCTCAAGTAGCTTACAATCTAATGGGGCAGACATCGTGCAAACAAACATATGCAAAGTCAGCTGTATTCCAGAATAAGATGTAAGAAGACTGCAAAGTGAGGAGGGAATTGGGTGATGAAGCAAAGAGCACTGAGCTTGATTTGACCAGAGTGTGAACCCTGACTCTATCTCTTACTAGCTATACTTCCAGAGTATGAACCCTGACTGTCTCTTACTAG